ACTTGGGGTCCTCAATTTATAAAGAACTCTCACGAATCGACCAGTAAACAATACAGCCAAGACAAAAACAGATAACGGATAGGACAGCACAAGGAAAACAAATAGTCCCCCAGCACAGAGTCTGCAAAGAGCTGCAAGTCAAAACAATCTGACAGTAGTTTTCATTACCATATTCACATATCAGTAAGATCTGATAGCACCCAGAGTTGATGAGGGTGTGGGGAAAGGGGAGTTATCATACTACGACTGCTGCTGTAAGTTTAAGTTCAGAAGTTTTGGAGCGTGCTTGGCACTACTAAAATCCTTCTTTCTCTCTGGCTGCACTGCACAGCATATGGGATCTTAGTTCCCAGACTAGGGATAGACCCCGTGCCCCCTACAGAGGAAGCTCAGACTCAACCGCTGGACCACCAGGAAACTCCCAGTATTAAAAGCTTAATGCGGTTGTCAGAGGATGCAGGAAACTCACCAAAAACCATCATCTCCTCTTGGACCTGGGCCCCCAGCTAGGGTATATTTCCCAGCAGCCCCTGCAGCAAGGTGTGACTGTGGGCACTCAGCTGCAGCCAATGGCAAGACAGGACAGGTCAAGGGATACTGCCAGCTTCTAACCTGGTGCATCATCACCTCCCAGGTGTACCCTCCCCACCCATTCCCCTTCTAGCTGGCTGGAATGAAGATGGCTCCAGAACAACCTTCGAGAACACAGGCTGAGAACAGTATAGCTTCCACGCCCTGTGGTTCCAAAAAGGCCACAGTAGAGGACAGCCAGTTGACATGTTACCTACCCAGCACTCGTGAGCAAAAAATACAACTTCTTTTGTTTAAGCCATTATGTATATTTCTTTGGTCTATGTGTAACAGGAATTAGCCCACTCTCACTAATACATTTGCTGTGTGTGTGCTCAGAAGTTTGGTTGTGTCTGACTCTTTGCAACCCCATGGAATGTATCCTGACAGGCTCCTCTGTCTGTGGCATTCTCCAGGTAAGAACACTGGAGTGGGTTGCCATGCCTTCCTCCAAGGGATCTTCCTGACCCAGCGATCAAACCTGCGTCTTCTGCATCTCCTGCACCAGCAGGTGGATTCTTTTACCAACAACGCCACCTGGGAAGCCCCACTAATACATTTACATGCACTTTAATTCAACAATTCCACTACTACAGATTCATCTGAAGTCAGGACATATATTTGGAAAATACGACAGACAACAAGGTAAATGTCCACCAAAACTGGGAGTGATCAAATAAATGAGAGCACATCTGTACAACAGAGAGTGATATAAATCTGCATGCACTCCAGCGAAGACCCCTTAAACTCTATTGTTACATGGGAAAAAAAATCAAGGTACAAAACAAAGTGTAGAGTGAGATATCTGTGCATACACACATACTAGTATACACATTCCTTTTTCTGGAAGGATAGGTGTGTATATACATAAAATCTGTAAAATAATATAGAAAATATAGATGACTATATAAAACAATATCTAGAAGGATACATGAAATTGTCAACTTGAGTGGGCCAGGGGACACCTAGATATCTGCCTAAACATGACTCTTGAATATGTCTGTGAAGGTGTTCCTGGAAGAGGTTAGTATTTGAACTGGGGGGCGGAATGAAGCTGATGGCCCATTGTGGGTGCGCCTCATCCAAGTTCTTGAGGACTTGAAAAGAAGAAAAAAGCAGAAGAAGGTGGAATTTGTTCTCTCCCTGACTGCTGAGCTGGGACACTGCCTCCCGCCCTCTGTACTCCTGGACCACAGGCCTTTGGAAGGCTGGAATGTACACTGTGTATATGTAGGGCTTCCCTGGTGCTTCAGTGGCAAAAGAATCTGGCTGCCAAACAGAAGATGTGGATTTGATCAGTGAGTAGGGACGACCCCCTAGAGAATGAAATGGCAACCCACTCCAGAATTCCTGCCTGGGAAATCCCAAGGACAGAGGAGCCTGGCGGGCTACAGTCCATGGGGTCACAAAAGAGTCAGACACAACCGAGCAACTAAACAACAACAATATGTGTATGTACATATATCTTATTGGTTCTGTTTCTCTGGAGAACCCTAATAATCAACAAAAAGTTAACAGGATATCTTTTCACACCTGCCTGTTACTGTCTGGAATTTTTAGCACCAGCAGAAAATTACATAACTGATTCCATGGTGACAAATGGGCAAAATCAGCCTATTAATAAATATTCATTTAGCACCCATTATATTCCAGGCATCAAGGACACAGCTTAAGAAACCCATGAGGGAGTAAGACTTCACAGTAGGATTCAGGAGCCTTCAACTGCGGTTAAACAAAGGGTATGGGCAGATCAAAGGGACTTTGCCAGTGTGATTCCAGACCACTGCAATAAAGCGAATATCGTGATAACTCAAGACACATGAGTTTTTTCGGTTCCCCAGTGCATATAAAAGTGATGTTACTGTAGTCTAGCAAGTGTGCAAAAGCATTATGTCTAAAATAGAATTCACATCCCTTAATTTTAAAATACTTCATTGCTACAAACGCTAACCATCATCTGAGCCTTCATCAAGTCATAATCTTTTTGCAATGGCTACATCAAAGATCACAGGTCAGACAGACCATAATAAATAAATAGTGGAAAAGTTTGAAATAGCGTAAGGATTACCAAACTATGACACAGACCCACAAAGACAGCAAACACAGCTGGGAAGAAATGGAGCCGACAGGCCTACTGGATGAAAGGTTGCCACAAACATTTGATTTGTTTAAAAAAAAAAAGGAAAAAAAAACAGTAAAGTGTAAGAAAGAAGCCAAGAGCAATAAAACAAAGCACACCTATACTTCTGCAAAGATGGTTCTCCACATACAGCCTGCAGCCCCAGGGAGAGAACAGAGCTCCCCGTGGGCAGGAGCCATCCTGACTGCTTTGATGCTTACCGAGATGAGGGGTGAGATGTATATAGGGAATCTAGAAAGATGGCACTGATGAACCCACCTACAGGGCAGCCAAGGCAACACAGACATAGAGATGTGTGGACACAGTGGGGGAAGGAGAAGGCGGATGCATTGAGAGTCTAGCATGGAAACAGATACACTACCACATGTAAGATAGATAGCCAGTGGTCATTTGTTGTATGATACAAGAAGCTCAACTCGATGCTTTGGGACAACCTAGAGGGGTGGGATGGAGTGGAAGGTGGGAGGGAGGTTCAAGAAGCGACGTGTGTATACTTATGGCTGATTCGTGTTGATGAATGGTAGAAACCAATACAACATTACTAAGCAATTATCCTCCAATTAAAAATAAATAACTTCAAAAGAATGAGGGATGATAGGTACTTAAATTCCAAAAACAAAATCAGGAAGAATCCCCCAAAAGTCAAAGAGAAACCAAAGACCAAAAATCCAAATAAAATCACTGAAAGAAATCCATGATGAAAATTTCATTTCTTGAGCAAAACTTTTGAAGGCTTTGCTCAGACTTCTTACCCTCCCTGTTACAGTTGAGGCTTGGCTTATATGGAAAATACTGCATCTCTTGTGTTCACAATTTTAATCTTAATTTAGATTTAATTCAAATTTCTTTTTTGCTCACATATAACACATTTCATTACCGAACTGCACCTTCACTTTCACACAGACACCTTATGGTCTCACCTTTTCCAAAGTTAAAAGATTATGGTATGGAATGAGGATTGCCAACAAAGATGAAGAATTGAAGGGTCCGTCATGGCCCCCGTTTCCCTCAGGTTTAATCACTGTTGATCATAATCTCAAGCCCAGTTTTGTAAAGTCTGGAATGTGCTGGGGCTAACCCGCCCCACTGAAATGTTCTGGTTCTGTACTACACTGACTCTCTACCTGCAACCCAAGAACAGAGATGTGTATTAAACAGGTAAGACCGATGACTTCAAATACCCTATTCCTGAGAGAAAGCTCACCCAAAGATACACAGCACAATAACCAACTAGCCCTGGGCACTTTCACGGAGGTCAAATAGTATCGATTTTACACTGATTTATTAAAATTGCAATCATTATTTTTCTTGTCTTCTTGAAACTGTCGCTTAAGGAAAACTGAAATGTGAGAGAGCTTAAAAACTTCAGCCTAAAGTTAAGTCTTAGTCCTAAATTATCAGAATAACTAAGGAGAAACGTTGACCTGCTCTATATCTGAGAATAAGGCTATGTGACCAGCACACTTTCTCAGACACAGACTTTACAATTCTGGCACATACACGGTTTAGGGTTCAAGCTTCACTCTTTCACTAAAAACTGCCACACCTCCAATCACTGAAGCATTGACAGTAAATTAATTGTTTAGCAACGAGTTTGCTGACAAATAGGAATTATTCAGCAAAACACAACTCACTGGGGAGTTTTCAAATCTGTATCACTTTAAATGTAGATGTAAAAGGGAAAGGTGAAGGCAAATAGATAATACACACAGAGATACTTAACTGATTATTTTCATCTGTCTTTAGAAATAAGCGAAGGACAGACATGGGTCTCACTAGAAAGTATCAAATTGTGTCTCTAAGACTTCACACACGTTCTATTTTAGGTCCTGTGCAAAAGTTACCACCACTTTTTTTTTTCCCTTTCTTTCTTCTTTTTAAATCATTCACCATCTTTTCCTAAAAGAACCCTATTATGTGCAAACTGCCTTCAGTGTTCATTCAAGTTTATCAATAAAGATGTTCTGCCTTCAAAGGAAGCTAGAATATATAAGAATAAAATGCTGCTGGGTTTCCAGGATTCTCTGAGAAAAATCACTTCCAAAGAATGGAAGTGTACTTAGGAAAGGAAAAGGAAAACCTGGAGAAATCTTTAAAAGATATCTAGAACAAGTCTCTTTAAGCATCAGACTGTCAAACTGCTTTACCCTCTGTATTTCATGCTTCCTCTGGTTATTTACACACCATCCAAGGCTCTTGTCAATTACCTGTGCCTGAAAGGTGGGCTTTGACGTTTGAAAGGATTTTATTAATTGATGTCAGTGGGGCAGGACGAGTTTAAAGGGCTTACCTGTGTGTCCCCGGAGGTGCTGGCTGGAGACGGACAGGAGCTTACAGCACACCATCAACACGTAGGCCAGAAAGAGCCAGTGAGACAGCAAGACAGACCTGGCACAGGCTCCCATCCTGGAGGGAAAGCAGGATGCAGGTCAGCGATGGATGGGTGCTGAGAGACCCTGAGCCAACACCGTCCTTAGAAGGTGTGGAGAGCAGGGGAAGATGCTGGGCAATGCACCCCTACCCCTACCTCACCAAAGAGACTGGAGGCCAAGCGAACCTTACACGCACTGTGCGTTCACTAAGTTCTCAATACACGCCTTTTATAATTAAAAGTTTTTCAAGTTAACTGCATGCCTCAGTGAGAAGTCTATTTATGAATCCCTAGAGCATAGCCTGAGTGGCCCTGATAGAACATGGGGGTTATATGCTATTTTATAGCACAAAATTTAAAAAGCGATATACTTTAAGCAGGATTCAAATAAAAGATACATAGTTTCTGCATGTGAAAGAAACCACAGAAATTCACACACCAGGCCTGAGAACTTTCCCCTGGTTTCTCTGACTGCATATTAATGCCCTTTGGCCTAGAATACTGGCTGAATAGTTTATTAATCCAATCTCAGAGTTTGATGAGAATATGGGCAAGTACTGATAAGTATATAAACAACTTCATATAGATGTCAATAGATAAATGGATAAAGATGAAATATTATCAATGAGAATGAAGGAAATCTTGCCATAAACAAAATTTTAGATGGACCTTGAGGGCATTATTGCTAAGTGAAATAAGTCAGATCAAGACAAATACTGCATAATCTCACTTGATGTAGAATTTAAAAAAGACAAATTCTGAGAAATAGATTAAGTAGCATAGTGGTCACCAAGGGTTGAGGGTGAGGGAAATAGGGAGGTATTAGTCAAAGGTCAAATCTCCCAGTGACATGATTCACAAGTTTGGGGATCTAATGTTCAGCATGGTGATTATAGCTAATCTAATAACACTGTCCCATATACTTGAATGTTGCTAAGAGGGTAGATCTTAAATGTTCTCATCACAAGAAAGAAAAAGTAACTACGCAACAGTAAGAAGGTGGTAGCTGATCCTATGGTGGGAATCATTTTGCAATTGATAAACATACTGGATCATACAATGCATACCTTAAATAGACACAGTGTTATGAATCAATTACATCTCAATAAAAACTGGGAAAATATATTTCACTTCATATGAATGGGCAGTATCCAAACAGTTGCTCAAAGACAATTCAGTTTACAAATGTGGCTGTGTGGTCTATTCTAAAACACTACCCTTTCCAAAATAAGTAAATAAAAAGAAAATAGCTAATATGCATTCTACTTCCCTAACTTTCTGCCTTTTCTGATCTCAGATAGCACTAGATTAGCTTTATTTTTTAATAAATTTATTCATTTTAATTGGAGGCTAATTACTTTACAATAGTTTGCTCTTTTTTTTTAATTAACTTTTCCAAGCAAAAGTCCAAGCTCTGGGCATTTGAAACTCCAGTAACACTGGGTTCTGCCTGGCTTCAAGGATAACAGATCCACCACAGAGGATCAAAGGAACTGCCTTTTCATACACAAGATGTATAGACACTCATGGGCAGATGATAAAGACATGGCCCGTGGATTCCTGTCTGAGTAACACAACAGGCAAAGCTTCTGAGGAAATCCTGAAGGAAGGGCCTAACAAGCCCATGACTGCCAACCCCGCAGGGTCTCAACCAGAACCCTGACTCCGTGATCAAGAGGAAACGCAGCCTTGGGGACCCAGTGGCCACACCACACTCCCAGGAGCAGGCACTGGCCTCTCACAAAGTAGTCACAGAGATCCTGTTGAAAGATCTTGTATTGCCACTGATTTGAGACTCAGTGTAACTCTGAAACAGCCACAGTAATACAAGATTCTAAGATTATCTTTGAAGACCACGGTGGCAAAAGTGATGTCAAGCTTTGAAGCTTGACATCATTTTGCCCTTGGCCTTGGAAATTCTGAGTGCTTGAAACTGACAGATACACTAGATGCCTCTGCTTTGAAAGACCTGCGTGCACCTTAATTTTGCAAAGCATGTCCTCCGTCTCCCCCACCTCAGCCTCCATGCACGGTGGGTAGAAACCCTGGAATCAGCTCAAATGTGGCAAAGAATATGTGTGAGTCTATGTGAGCTTGAGGTGCTAGTATGTAATTACATCTTCAGGAAATTGATTATTAATTTATTACTCAACAGGGCAAGTATGGAGGTTCTATATATGCTGAGTTTTTGAATGAGGTGCTCTGTCCCCCCTCCCATGTTTTAAAATTCCAGTTGTTAACTCCAATATCCATTATTGATCTAACTGTTACAAAGGCTTAGTCTTACCCAAGGGTCAAAATTTCAAATCTCTCCCAATAAAAGTGTAGGCTGGCTGGGCCCAAGGCTCCAGAGAGCAGTAGGGAAGGTAGAGTCCTGTCTAGGGGCAGCTGCTCCAAGGGAACGCCAGGAATGAGTTTTCAAGAGAAGCTGCTTTCTGATACACTGTCTGCACACTTTGAGTCAGCAAGGGATTCCACTTGTTTTGTTTTAAAAACAGAGTGCAGATCAAACAAAACACATTTGCAAACTGGATTGGGTACCCTAACTTCTGGTTTGTAGCAATTAGTGGTCCAGAAAAGGAAAATGTTAAGGAATCAGATGAATGGAGTACTAGCTTTCTACTGCTGTGTAATAAACATTGCCAAACTGAACAGTTTAAAACAATAGGTCTCCAAAGGCCTCTTCACTGTTCTATCCTCCACTTCTTCCTGCTTCGTGGGCTGGCTCCTCAGCCTCTCACCACAGTGTTCCACCTGATTTAGAGTCTCCAAATTCAGATGAAGTCTGTCAGATGAGCTATAATCTGTCCCACCTAATTTACCAGTGAAGTTCAGTTTCCATGTGTTCATCAGTCACTGCAAGTCCTAAACCTGTCTGGATGGAGTTAACCAAACTGGGAGAGTATGTCTGAGATGGATGATCTGAGTCCCAAATGCTGGGTACCGTAGGAGGTCAACTCTAAGATAGAAATTGATGATCAGCGGGTGATTTAAGGAGTGCTCTAGGGAGTATCACCTGTGGAAGGGGAGGGACAAGAAGAAGGAAAGACAGAAAGAGGGAAAGGCCGCAGATAACCCTCTGGGGAATTCCAAAGCGGATCAAACCAGTCAATCCTAAAGAAAATCAACTCTGAATATTCAATGGAAGGACTGATGCTGAAGTTCCAGAATACTCTGGCCACCTGATGTGAAGAACTGACTCACTGGAAAAGACCTTGATGCTGGGTGAGATTGAAGGCAGGAGGAGAAGGGGACAACAGAGGACAAGATGGTTTGATGGCATCACCGACTTAATGAACATGAGTTTGAGCAAACTCCGGGAAATGGTGAAGGACAGGGAAGCCTGGCGTGCTGCAGTCCATGAGGCTGTAAAGAGTCAGACATGAGTGAGTGACTGAACTACACAGCTGAGATGCCCCTTCTCCATGGTCCCAGACTGTAGTGAGGGGTCAGGCCTTTACACCTGAACATCAGGAAAAACCTTTCATCTCAGGCAAGGACGCTCTTTGGATTGCGGACAATTCAAAGATGCTGTAGGCCATCTTCTGCAATGCTTCTGACAGTTGAGGGCATGAATCCTTCATTCCTGAAGGGGATGCTGGGCAGGGCATCATGCTCATTAAAATGTGATGGGAAGAGACTTCAAATATAAACCCTAGCCCAGCCCGGGCCTGTTTTGCCCTCAGCACCATTCTTTCCACTTCCACTGGGTGACACCTCTATACTGCATTCCCCAGGTTCCTGAAAGATCTGGCTCCTACCTGACTTAGTTAGAGCCTGCAGAGTGGAAGGAAAAGGCCATGGTATTTTTTTCCCACCTTCTCTGTCTTGGCAGGGTCAACGGAATGGCCATTTCTCCTCCATGGTGTCAATTTCCCCCCGAAGGGCCCACTATGGCTCCAGCTCCCATGGAAGGCCCTTCCCGCCAAGGCCACTGGCCAGCAGGACTGCCTTCCTCTGTCCCACCAGCCTCAGGATGGCAGAGCTGTTGCTCATCTGATGGCAGGAGCTGTTGCCTGCTGTTGCTCATCTATGGGCTGCCTTTGTGTCTTCTGCTTAACCTCTCTGGCCACCACACATGTAATCAGTTTTCTGAATTCAACTCCCTGTCCTTCTGCTCCAGGATGGCTTCTGTTCTCCTGGTTGGATTCCAACAACAAACCCCAAATCAAAAGTCTCATGGGCCCCTGTTCCAAATCTCGGGTGATCGTCCCTGATCTGACTTCTTCTTCATGGAAAATTCTAAGTATCAGGGTCTGGGGTGAGTTTGAGAACAAGTATTGCCTAGAACATGTATTGACCTAACAATAGCTATGATTCCCTGAAGATATGCCTATGGCTAGGTGGGCAGCTCTTTAGCAATGATTCTTCATTTCATTCAATAATCCAGAGCCCCAGTAAAAAGATGTCTCACCTACTACACTTACTGTGGTGACTCAGACAGTAAAGAATCTGCCTGCAATGCAGGAGACCCAAGTTTGATCCCTGGGTTGGGAAAATCCCCTTGAGAAGGGCATGGCAACCCATTCCAGCATTCTTGCCTGGAGAATCCCATGGACAGAGGAGCCTGGTGGGCTACAGTCCATGGGGTCCCAAAGAATAGGACACAAATGAGTGACTAACACTTTCACTTTTCACTTTCATACCTACTGTAATACTTCAATTTCTCCTACATTGAACATCTTTGTCCAAATGTAAAACAGAGTTAGTTTATCTTAAAAATATCACCTTTGGCCCTGTTGAATAGCCAAAGTACTGCTTTAGCAACTGAAATAATTTCAAAGATCAGAGCTAATTTTTAAAAAATTCTCCATATTTCCAAAAATCCAACACAAAATAAAGCTTTTATAAAGGGTCATCAATTCTAAGATATTCCATCTGCCTAAATTCTTCATAAAGATACCATCTCTAGGTATGTGCTAAAATCATTTTACCTTGGACACTTCATAAAATTTGGTTCCAGTCAAACACGGTTATTCCAGGATGGATTTCAGAGCGACTCCAAGTTCCCATTGGTAGCAAGGACCAACCATTTCGACAGTTCCAAAAAATTATCTTAACTTCATAGACCTATTTAAAATACAAAAAAGACAGGAAGCCATTAGCATTTTAATGTTGAGATGATACAGGTTTTCAGAAGCAATTTTTTTTTTTACAACTGTGTTTTCAGGCAAGTGGTAGACAGTCAAACACATCCACATTTGTAAAGTGTCCTAATAGATGGGGATGGAGGGAAGGCAGGAAATACAGAATTCTGCACTTATTAATTAGCCACACAGTAGTTAACAGAATACAATTTTAAAGTAGAAGTTCCCTCTGCAGCAAAGGAATGATCAAGTTGACAGAGGGTACCAAACCATTCATGATGCAAAATTTCACTCTCTCATCACCCACGGGATGAAAATGAAATTGAAGATACTCCAATCCCAAGAGTTCCACAACCTGCCCAAGTTCACAGAGCGGTGGAAAAGCTAGCATGCAGACCTAAGTTTCAATGTTCTGTGACATAAACCTGATGATGATAAACAATTTGCAAGACACACCACTATGTATAAAATAGATAACCAAGAAGAACCTAGTGTATAGCACAAGGAATTAGACTCAATATTATATAATAATCTATAATGGGGGACACATGTGTACCCGTAGCTGATTCATGTTGATGTATGGCAAAAACAACCACAATATTGTAAAGTAATTATCCTCCAATTAAAATAAATAAATTGCTTTTTAATGAATGGGCTTTATATATACAGGCTTCCCTAGTAGCTCAGATCGTAAAGAGTCCACCTATAATGCAGGAGACCCGGGTTTGATCCCCAGGTTGATTCCTGGAGAAAGGAATGGTTTCCTACTCCAGTATTCTTGCCTGGATAATTCCACAGATAGAGAAGCCAAGTGGGCTATAGTCCATGGGGTCGCAAAGAGTCAGACATGACTGAGCAACTTTCTCTCATTCATTAGCACAGGTATAAAACAATTTGCAAGGATGCTTTTTGAAAAATGCTGATGGGACACAGAAGGCAAAAATTTTTCCAACATAAAACACACAAAAATACAAAAAACACTTTTTAACACCATAACTGAGATTCAACATGCTCCTTTAACACACAAACCTTCATTTCTACTTAATGAAAACATTTTTCAAGAAGGATTCAGATAACTCCAAACCAAAAGACATTTAAAAAAATAAAAAAGGAACATGAAACTACCCATTTTTAACGTTACTGAGTTAAGTGCATCCCTCCAAGGGATGGTGATCAAAGAGAAGTAATGATGGGCAACAATAAATATTTAAGCTGCAAATGTGACATACAAATGATCCGTGCGGGCTTCCCAGCTGGTTAAGTGATAAAGAAAACATCTGCCAATGCAGGAGACACGTGTTCGATCCCAAGTCAGGGAAGATTCCCATGTGCCATGGAGCAACCAAGCCTGTGTGCCACAACTATTGGGCCTGTGCTCTAGAGTCCAAGCACTAGTGAAGTCTACGCTTCCTAGAGCCTGTGCCCCCCAACAAGAGAAGCCACAGCAATGAGAAGCCCGTACATCACCACTAACGTGTAGTCGCCCCAACTAGCTGCAACTAGAGAAAAGCCTGCGAAGCAATGACGACCTAGCATAGCCAAAAATAAATAAAATTATTTTTACAAAAGACCCTTGCTCCCCAGTCTAATCATTATCGAATCCTGTTGAACCCACTGCAAATGCACCACAAAATACAACTGATAGTTTTCTCTTCTTTGGATGCCCTATGTAATTACAAACATCTGTAATTACAGATGTTTGTCTAGAGGCCTCTTTAGGTGACAGGCTTGAGATCCATCCTTTTGGGGCCACAGGAGACACAGAGGAGGCTGTGAGTGATTAGCTCTACGAGAGAGAAGCAGCTTTGAGTAACTGTATAAATGTAAGATACCTGGAAAAGAAATCACTGGATAATGTTCATCTCCCAGATCCTCCAACTTTATTAAGTATGTTTGTCCTGATATCCACCCAAGGGCACAACATGACCTTCTGTTATCAGAAAGAAATACATAGTGTAATTTACCAGAACCCATCCTAATGAACTCACCACATACTGGAAACCAAAATGACCTTTCCTAGCTAATATTTATCTTGTTTTCTTCACATAAAGAGAACCACTGGGGATTCTCTTTTCAATTCGTTAAAAAAAAAAAAAAAAAAAGGATCCATCAGCAAAAACAAATGTGATCCAATAGTTCACATGCTAGACAAAAAGCCAGGAGTTTAATTTTAGGCTGAGCAGTAACTCATTCAGTCAGATTTTCCCCGAGTGTACCCTAGGCACTTGTTTAAAAGGATTAACTCCTTCCTGTCATTTCTGAACTTTAGTATATTCAAGACCATTGGTGCTCTTGTGCACAACACCAAAAGCATGAATTTCCAGTCACTCTACTTCCCTCTAGGTTGTTTTCTAACAATGGCATAGTCTTTTCTATCATTCCACTTTAAGCCCTTCCTTTTCCTCAGTTCAGTTCAGTTCAGTCGCTCAGTCGTGTCCGACTCTTTGCAACCCCATGAATCGCAGCACGCCAGGCCTCCCTGTCCATCACCAACTCCCAGAGCTTACTCAAACTCATGCCCATTGAGTCAGTGATGCCATCCAGCCATCTCATCCTCTGTCGTCCCCTCCTCCTCCTTCCCTGTCCATGGGGTTCACCAGGCAAGAATTCTGGAGTGATTAGTCTATCCCTTCGCCAGGGGATCTTCCCAACCCAGAGATCGAACCCAGGTCTCCTGAATTGCAGGCGGATTCTTGACCATCTAAGCCACCAGGGAAGCCCTACTGTACAGCACAGAGAACTATATCCAATATCCTGTGATAAACCATAATGGAAAAGAATCTAAAAAAAGAATATATACTCTGTGTGTGTGTAAATATATATACACACATAACTGAATCACTTTGTTATACAGCAGAAATTAACACAACATTGTAAATCACCAATACTTCAGTAAGTATATTATTACTTATTGATACAATATTTTTATATTATATAATACTAAAATAAAATAAAAATATTTAAACTTTAAAAAAAGTCATTATTTTTAGAGAGTCTGGGTGTTTACAATGATGAATGACATTGCCATATCTAGACTAAGAACAATTGTAACATGTAACAATTGTAAATGTGTCTGGTCACTGTTGGAATGAGGAAAAAAAACAGCATTTGCGTGCTGGGTTACATTTTTCATCTTTCACCTTACACACTGGTCTTATGTGGAGACAGTCACTCTTCTACAAAAGAGCAGGATGCCTGTTCATGTTTCCTGGTACCAAGAAACTTCAAGCTTCCCAGGTAGAGGAGACCATTCTATAGATGTTTAATTTATTTCTGTTGTACCCAAGAAAGAAGTCGGCCTACACCTGATTTCTCATCAAGGACATAGTGAGGTTCTGCCTTTCTTTTCTCTTGATCTACTTGCCTTCACTATTAGCAGAGTGAATTCCTTAAAAGGATTATTTTGGGGGATACAGTTATTGACTTGTTGGAGATAAGCACCCTCAGAATATCTTATGTCAGTTTTGCTATACCCACCTCACTCCACAGATGTCAGTTTATACAGCATGACGTTCTTATCTTTTCATTCTAAAACTCTACAGTGATGAAATACCACATTCTTTTTAAAACCACCATACACAATGACCTTAAACCTAGACCTAATCATGAGGAAAAATGCCAAACGTTTGACTAACTCAAATGTGAGAGACTTTCTGCAAAGTAATTGCTCCTTAAAAACTGTAAAGGTTATGAAAGATCAAAATAATCTTAGGAATTGTTCCAAATAAAGGAATGATACACGGCAACCAAATGAAATGGTGATCCTATGTTGCATCTTAGATCTGAAAAAAAATACATGCATAGTCATAACTGCATGCACAATCACAAACATACACACATATTTATACACACACATTTATCTACAAAGGACATTACTGGGACAAATAACAATTTCTGAATATAGCCTATAGATTACACTATGGTGTCATATCAATATTAAATTAGTTAAGAGAATGTCCTTGTTATTAAAATATACCCTGAGATATTTAAGAATAAAGGGGCAACTGTCTCAAACTTACTGTCAAATGATTCTGAGAGGAAAAAGGGAAAAGGAAAGGAAGGAAGGAAAAGCAAATGAATGAACACAAAAACAAATGAACAAAATGTAAGCAACTGATGAATCTAGGAATTCTTTGTACTATTCCTCCAACTTTTCAGTACATCAGAAATTATATCAAAATAAGACAATAGATGTTCACTAAAAAGACCAGTTTATCACATATACTAAAATGATTCAGAACTTATTACCATTCTTAAACCATAAGAGGAGTTGATAGTTGAAATGTTCTGGCTCATGTGACTCTCTTAGTACTCACTGAAGACCTCAGAGGAAGTCCATTTGTTTTTTTAAAAAGCACTTTCATAGAAACACCTTCTGTAAACACATTTGGGTGTGTTCTTTTGCTATTCCTTTAAAAATGTCATACTGGTTTACCATTTCTCAACCTGTTACTTCATACAATATTCTCATGTAACTAAAATATCTTCAAGAACATTTAATAGAATATAACATTCAATAATATTGAAAAACTGTTGCTATTCAATGTGTTGTTTTGGTCAAAAGTCTATCAGTTGTATAGAAGTATAGGAGATTGATACTATGTGCTCCTAACTTCTCTTATTAATTAAAAATGTATTCAATGAGAAAAAAGAGCACATTCATAGCATCTACTATGGTTCGTTCATTGTGCAAGTACCTTAAAATAATAACTCACTTAAAAATAGGATTTATTTCTATCCTGCTATGCAGATGAAGACAGTGAGACACAGATAGGTCAAGGGGTTTGCCCGAGGTCGCTCAGCTAGCAAGTGGCTCAGCCATGATTCAAATGCAAGCCATCTAGCACCAAGGAATCTACTG